CACCCACAGACTGTTTATAAATGGGTTGGATATATAAATAAGATACCAGCTGTCATGACTCATGAATGTTTTCCTTGTCAAACGGAAAATATACATAGTTCGGATTTTTTCCCCCTCCCGTTTATCTACAGCTCAGGGGCCAGATGCATAATCATTATGTTAAGACAGTCCCTGCGTCCCAATTCGCATACTATCCGTCCTAAATAGTATTCGAAAATAGAATTAGTACGTCCCAAATCGAAGTATGTTGAAATGAGTGTTTCAAAGATACCCGGATGGTCTACTTTTTCCGGTCAGAATCCGAAGTGTAGATCGATGCACACTCTAACGGCTGATATTGCCCACAAACCATTGCGCGTTGGACGAGGATTCGGTTAGAACTACAAACACGAGTAAAAAGTGTTAAAAAACTACAGACACGTCGATACGGAGGACGCGTGAGTCCCCGCGGTTGTGTAGAGAGGTTTAGATAAAGAGCTTCGAGTGATTAATTATCAGTATCTAACCTGACGAAAATGAATTTATTCAATGTTGTCCACATTATATTGCATTTGCAGCAGCATTGTGAACTTTTGTAAAGACACGTTTAGCCATTACGTTTTAAATGCATCATTATATTCAAATTGCAAACACATGAGGAGAGTATGAAAGACCCACAACTGGCAGATGAACGTGCTCTTCGAAACGGTAGGAAATAAAATTAGATAGAATGGAGGATTTTAACTGTGACAAGATGATTGACAGGGCAGTTTACGGTGACAGGATGCACGCAGCACGACAGAGCTGTCCGTTAAAGATGACGTGATAGTATGTCCCAAAGCTTGCCTACTCTTTTGCTACACACTCAAAAGTATGTACTTTTTCCTCACAAAAAGAGTACATACTTTTAAGGCGTAGTATAAGTAAGCGAATTGGAACGCAGCAAGTGTCTTAAGAACTAGTATGACCAACTAGCAGTTAGTTAGGGCTAATCAGTCTTACTGTTCGGTATCAAATTAGACTAATGTACATTTTTTATGTAACTAACTTATGCAACTTTATGCAACTGAAGTGAAATAAAGTAGCGCTATGATCTTGTTTTTATGAAAAACGCGTAGAAAACGCTGGGCCGCCGCATTCTCCTTTTCCAAAGCGCTAGTAGGGCGGCTGCGCTCCGGTTGGTTCTTGTCACGTGACCTACTGTGCGCTTATGGTAGCCTACACTACGCTTGCACTTTTCTGAAAAGTTGAGATGTTTTTATCTCGACGCGGCGCGGACGCACTTGGAAAAAACGAGCGCGTCACATCGCTTCCATTATGAGCGCACATGCCACGCGCCTACATTTGAAATAACGAACTTCAGCGCGCAAAAGACGCAATATGTGAACAGGACCTAACTCTTGTGAGTTGCCACCACTGGCCGTACTCGTCAGTGCTGCTATCTCTGACTCACTCACTGGACCGTCGCGTCGACCCGACAAAAAACTGCACCTATGCGGATCTCGCCTAAGATTATGTGTCCCTAAAGAACCCGTGTATCTAATAGTAGTTCCGCATTACATTCATTAACTTGCACACAAGTTTTATTTATTTTTATACCATGCATTCTCCCTGTAAATGCATGCACCAAACCGTGACGCCCGTACTGCGAGTTTGGTCTTTTATATCACTGTATTATTCCATTAAGCTACGTTAAGCGTCCTGACAGCAGGGGAATCAATCCAGCACAGCATCGAGGATTAACAATCTAGTCCACGGTAGAGAAAGCTGCACACATGTATAAAAGTATCCATGGAAACTTAAATGTAAACAGCTTTTGTGCCTTTATCAGCTTTTCCATATGAAGAGTTCAGATGCAAAAGCCTCTAAGTGCCATTTGAAATTTTCTTCTAGAATGATAATTTTTATCAAGCTTGTATATTTAAGTTCAGTGATTTCACTTAAATGGCAATGATAATTACCTATTAATTGTTATTTAAGTGAAATTACTGAACTTAAATATACAAGCTTGATAAAAATGGTCATTTTAGAAGAAAATTTCAAATGGCATTTAGAGGCTTTTGCATCTGAACTCTTCATGCATTTACTCTTACTTTGTAAAGCTAAATAAATCAGACCAAAAATTGGCTTATTATTAAATTTTTAATAATGAAAATGTTTGTGAAATGTTTTGAACAGGGCAAAGTTCTCGACAGCGTATTAACAGTAACACATTAACAGGAACCCTCTTGTTCTCAGGAACGATGATTGAAGAGCAGAGTGAAACAAAGTTCGCTCAGCTCCTAAGTGAAAGCCTAAGGCGAGTAATCACACGCTGCCCTATATAACCGGAAGTGGGGAGCAGCTTGCTATCACTCGCTATTGTGCAATGGCTTGTTCTGTTAGCATTTGAAGGTGATTGGGCTCTCAGGCAAGATCCAGACTATTAGATCCCAATTGCATAAAAGATGGTCTTTTGGCTAAATGGTTTTAAATCAAATGCTACAAGATATAAATCTCTATGATTATCTCTGTAAAATTATATTCAGTTTATTTTCTTATTTTTCACTTCACAAGCCAACTATTTATTTATGAATCATTGACAGAGATTCTTTCATTTTTATTGTTGTAGAAAAAAAAAGGTTGTAAACACTGGGTCAAATCAGGTAACCAACTATTTATTTATGAATCATTGACAGAGATTCTTTCATTTTTATTGTTGTAGAAAAAAAAAAGGTTGTAAACACTGGGTCAAATCATATGACCTGAGAAAAAAAAATGTACAAAAAAAGTTCGACACAGACTGACACACCACAACATGCCTCAACAAGCTCAACACAACAAATGTTTCCAGTGGTTTCCCCAAATTCAACTGAAAATGTAACTTTTAATAACTTATGCAGTCTCAACATTATTCAACCCCTTCAACTCCACATGACCCGGATAAGTTTGGAGTGGGTCTGCGTCATTAGTAGTAGTAAAATCTTTATTTGCCCCTTTACAGGGCAATGTAAGTAGCTTCAACCTCACAAACATACAATTTTTTATCAAAACAAAAAACAGCAAAACATCACCAAACCTGGGCATTTATGATAAATCTTCATATAGCTACTGTTTAAAATTCACACTACCTTTATCTTTGTTTCAAATAAGTATTTACACTCATAACTGCGTTTGAAACAAAAGACCATAGAAGCTTTAATGGTCCTCCACTTGGGCACTATCGCTTTGCTGAGGGAAGCAAAGAAAATGTGGGATGTATGCTCTAGGATAATTAAAGACTTCTTAACAACATTTCTCTCAGACAAACCCAACTCCTGTAATCTCCAGCTTCCTCATTAAATATAACCGTTTTTGTGCTTTCGATGCAATACAATTTGTGGTTTCCACCTTGTGTTATACCTTTATATTAATTTCATAATGTCTATAATGTGGTTTTATTTACATTGTTTATCATTGTCAAAACATTGTTTAACATTTTTTATTTTCCTATCATGTTATACAATAATCATCACATTTCCATAATTAATAACAATACATAATAAAACACATTTTAAATTCAATATTAATTCCTTCAAATTTCAGCAATACCACTGAAACACTAATTTGTCATCATTATTAACAAAAATAAAATTTGCACCACTTTTAAAAAAATGTGCATATCATTGTTAATTTGATAAAATTCATACTCTATTTTAACTCTGGATTCTACCAAAGCTTTGAACAATTCTACTATATTAATTATTTTATATTCATTTTCAATTTTATATGCTTTCCAAATAGTTAACTTCGCTTGACCACTTAAAAAAAAATGAAACAGGACTCACTTTGAGAGTTAATATATTTAAACCCAAAAATAAATACTGTTTTTGAAAAATTCCAACCAAAACCTTAAAATATATTTTAAGAGATTCAAAAGAGGTAAAATTCGGCGGCGTGAAACACAGTTTGCGATTCATTGCAAAATTTACAAACAGAAGATGTACTAAAGTTACACTTGAACAAAAATGTTTTTGTTGCTAATGCATAGTGAAGGATACGCCTTAAATAATTGACTTCAATGGGAACTCGTTTATCAAAATGAACGAATCTTTTTTTCGTGTCATTTGGTTCATTCAACAAATGAAATGAATGTTGACTCGGGAAAAGATTCGTTCATTGTGATGAACAAGTTCGAACAGGAGAGTCACGAACGTGCACCATCACAGAACAGAGGCGAGCATTTGAGCTTATAAAACTTAAGAAAAAACAATTTAAATGAGCGATCGTTTCGTTAGATAAGACTCTTTATCATGGTCTGAACCCGTTTAAAGCCCTTTGAACAGTTTGCAGTTTGTACTGAAACTTTTGCACCTTGAACCATTTGGTTCCCACTGAAGTCCATTATATGGAGAGAAAAAAAAAAGTCTTTCCACATCCAAAACACCTCATAGAGTCAGTCGACACAAACACTGAAACAAATTCATCTATTCTGAATTTTACATTCAGATCAAGTTTGTTCCCATTTGTTTAAAACCATGCAGTAGTAAACCTTCTAAAGGAAACGACATGTTTTAACAGACTTACTTCCAATTGCGATCTTCTTAACAAGTGAAACAAGTTTACCAAAACGTGAAAGCTCTCTTGCTAGCACTTCATCCTTGATAAACTGTGGAACATTTGACAAGGTCACCTTTTTAGTTGGTATGGACAGGGGAAGTATACAGATGCAAATGAACCCCGCAATTCAATGCCCCTTTCTACTAACTCATTTGCCTTTTCTTTCTACCACGTGATCAAAAAAAAAGTACAATTGCATTGTTCATCTTTGAAGCAGCCAAAACATGCCCAATCACATTTCCAACAGCTAAAATACATTCGTACACTACCCACCGCCACGATTTAACTCCATGCCGACGCGTGAGGGAATCTAAACCTGTACAGCCGCCATGGTGTGTAAAAAAACACAGGCCTACATTTTTTAAAAATAGAAGTTTGAAAAAGAAGCCACAGCGGGCACACTTTCACCAGAGAATATAATCAAAATATAGTAGTCTACGTACCATCAGCGATCATCAGCAGTACTGACATTATAAAACAGTTCGTCTGGTGCATCTTCAAATGCCTTTTAGATGTTTCACAGACGGAAGCAGACGGAGCTACGGAGCTCGAGCACCTGCCCTTTTGCCCCTTGGTGCCCAAAGTGCCCTTTTGTCAAGACAATATTTCCTCTCCTTTTTTTGTATTTAAAGGCACTTTTGTGGATGCCTGTCCCATCTAACAGGTAGAAAAATTAATTAATAATAATTTAGCCGTAAATAAATTGACACATGATGACCTTTCACCTGGCGAACTCATCCGGGACGATTCCTCACGCTGCACGCGCATTTTTTAATTTCGCGCGGCTACGCGCAATCGCGCATTCCCAGAGGATATCTTCACTCTTGCGGCTGCTGAGTGGTGTTTTATTCTCAGCGAAGTGATTTTGATGTTTGTTTACTTATTATTATTATTATTTTACTAGAACGACATGAAGAGAGCATGCAGAGATGTTGTTTGTATTGCTGTGTGTAGGCTGTAGAAGTAACGTTAGTTTGCTGTTTGAGGGAGAAAAGTTTCACGGGCGTGTAGGGGTGTTATTTGACTAAAAACTATTATTTTACTTTAAGCTATTATTATTATTACAGTATTTATTTAAAAAACGTGGAGTGCCATAAAAATTATTATCACAACTCTGGTAAGTTATCAGATAGGCTTATCTTATGTTTTGTGTGTAGAAGCCTCTGTGAACATCTGCCCTACTAACGTTACTATTATATACTATTATTGTATTATTATACTATAGCAGCCTGGGCAGAATGACTTTAGTAAGAATTTACCAGAACAGGCATCACATTAATGTTAAAAATCTTGTAAAGTAATAATTGCTGTTTCTGTTTGCTTTGTTTTTATTTTCATTGTATAAAATGCAACTCTTGTATTTTTATAAATCAGTTTTTGCCATGAAAATTGCCACAGATGCTGATATGCCATTAAATAAAACTATACTGTACTGCTCGAAACATGGGCCACGTTGATTTTGTCCTATACAGTTCACTATAACAGCTGTTCTTTATTATTCTGTATAACAGAGAAGAAAAAGCCACCAGGTTGTTGGGACAACTTAAGATGCTTCAGTTTCTAATCCCAAAGTTATATATATAGAGCACTTAAATAATTTTTTTTTAATTTTAAACTTAAAATTTGTCTTTTCTGTTCTGTTTCTTATACAAAACTACATCAATGCTCTTGCTGCTCTATCGATGCAGAATCATCTGTATTGATATATTACTGTATTGATATTTTAAGCACAGCCCTATAACGCCTTGTTTCCATGTGCCCCATTTTATACTTTGAGCACCTGCCCCTCCAGAGGTCTCTGCACGGCCCTGTGTCTTCATAACAGAGCATCACCAAAACTACCAGGTTTCCCACTGGTCACGCCATGCAGCCGCAGTTTAAAGCCAGATTTGTATTCTTATTTTTTTAATGAAGAAAAAAAAAACATTGTGCGCCTATTACTATGATTACGGTACTGTCAGGAACTGCGAGAAAGAGAATAAAGTAAATAAATACATACAAAATAATAATAAATAAATAAGTATTTATATAAAGTAGGCTACATAATGCTTTTTCAGATGTTATCATTAGTTTTATAGTAGGAAAGGCTAAAAATAATGTTTTGACCTGCAATGTGATTTTAGCTATTTAAAGAAAGTAAACATATGATTTAGGCTGTGACTGCAGATGCATCAGTTCATGAACTGCCAGTTCATCTGGATAGTAAACGTACAGTAGTTTGCTGAATTCCATTTCTTAAAGGGATAGTTTACTTTGAAATTAATTTTTGATATGTTTTATCTTACCTCAAGGGCATAGGTGTCTTTGTTTCCACAGTATTTTCAATTTTGATATTTTTAGGTCAAACCGCTGTTGTCTGTCAGTCATATAATGGAAGTCTATGGAGCCCACCTCAAAGAGCATGCACAGAGAAGTCCAAATTAAACATAATTTAATTTTCTTAGTTTTAATGTTGTCTGTTGAGTGTCCAGCAGATGGCGCCAAATCTCCATTCAGACTGATGACGTTTGATCTTCCGCTAAATCTAACATCTTTAGCCGCTTTCATTCATACGAGGATTTATTAATTATTAATATAATCAGCTCACCGTTATTATACAATACAGCATCAGATCTGGGAGAGTATTGTTGTAAGTATTAATAACGCTTTCTGAACAAGCGCTCTCGTGAGTCACGTCTCTCTCTCTCTCTCTCTCTC